TGCACGGAAAAATTGACCATTTTATCCACTACAATTGCATTGCTCAAATGTGCTGTTATTGGTACCATTTACTACTGAAAATATCAACGAGATGTTTATTTATATTTGAAGACATATTAAAGGCTTTAACGCTTGTTTTCGCCTCGCACTATTATTTACGATTGAACAAATCTTTTGGCAGGTACTGTATGAAAAAGTATGTTTAATGAATAAGAATCGAGAGTAGAATGAGCTTTTTTTTTCCCTACCTACGATTTTGCCAGCGCGCGTCTAAGACATTGGAAGGGGCACATCGCTAGAGAAAGTAAATGATGTATAACTACTCAATCGATCATCATGAAATTTGGACACATTGTCAGGGGTACAGAAAAGGACATAGGGTACCCTTTATTCAGACAAATAATACTGTTCCCTAGGGATAGAAAAATTAGTTCAATGTAGTCGATTTCATACCTTAACTACTCAATCGACCATCATGAAATTTTGTACACATTGTCAGGGGTATATAGAAGGACATAGAGTACCTTCTATTCAGAAAAAAAAATACTGTACAGAAAATGGCATAGGGAACCTTTTTTCAGAAAACAAATACTCGAGGAATAGAAAAACTAGTTGAATGTGGTCGATTCCACGTTTTAACTACTCGATTAATTATGAAATTTTGTACACTGTCAAGGGTACAGGAAAGGACATAGGTTACCTTTCATCCAGAAAAAAAAAATTATTTGATAATTTTTTAATAATCCTGGATAATTATCTAAAATAGATAATTTTGCTAAGTTATGCATAAAAAGGTGCCCATTTCTTATTGACTTCCATAGTGATTTGTTCTTTTGTTACCCTTTCTAATAGGTTTGTCCTCATTTCTAACCTTTTCTACCCCTGATATTTTTTACATCCTCCTATAACACCACACCTGAAACGCTTCTAACTTTCCCTTTTTTCCTGCAATTGTTCATAAGCTAGTTACCAGGGAAAACTACAAAATAATCAAGGACCCTCAAAAATTAGTAGATACCAATTGCGCCCATGTTAAAAGGATAAGTNGTTTCTTGATCAACTCTACCAGAGCAATTTTTTATAATCATTTCTGACAGTTTGTATACAATTTTCCTGCGAAACGGTTAATTTGCATTTTGCATTTGTAATAAAAAGTCTCGTGAAAACAAAAAAGTTTTCCTGGGGAAAATTTTTCTAGAAGACGCATATCTGAGGTGCGCAAGTTCGTGACGTCAGTAATTAATCAGTACCCAGCAGTCATTACTGTTTACGTAACAGACGAATTCGATACAAAACGACTTTAACGACTTATCCACATATTTATTTTTCGTGAGTGTTGTAAACTACTATTTTAATATAAAAAATGCCTCGCAGAGGACGATCAGCCAGTCCTGTACCCCGTGCACCTGCAAGGTACATTTTTGTTGTGTTTTCAACCATTAACCTCATTTTTTGCTTGCTAAAACGTCATGGTTTATCTATAAAAATATATTAATGTATTTTATGCACAATATGTCGCAACATCTTTATAACGTTCACTTTAATTTAACATTTTACAAGCCTATTTATGGTCTTATATGGAAGAAAAGTTAATACAATATAAATTTCATTTCAGATCGGTACCAGCCAGGATACCTCAGCAGCATGCTGCTGCAGCACATCCTCCTGCAGCTCCACCTGCTACAGTAGCACCCCAGGCACAGCAACCATCGTTGTTTGGCCAAATGGCAGCTACTGCCGGAGGAGTTGCTGTTGGATCTGCAATAGGGCACACTGTTGGACATGCTGTCACAGGTAAGGTACCAGTTGTATTAAAAAATTGTCAGCTTCAGCATTACATTTGAAATATAATTTACTACTCAGCATCATTGTCAGGGATAATTCTCGGAATAGAAATAAAAATAAGAAGACACTTCTTATTGCAAGTGTTCTCAAGGCTTTTCTGTTTCCTTTTTTTAGGGCTGTTTAGTGGAGGTGGTGGTAGTGAACCTGTAGCTGCTGCTCCCCAACAAGCTGCTCCAGCACAAGGGAGCAGCCCTTATGCTGCAGAACAAAATGGGCCATGTGCATGGGAAATCAAACAATTCTTAGAATGTGCCTCAACACAGTCTGATCTGACCCTGTGCCAAGGATTCAATGAGGCAATTCAACAGTGCAAACTTAGGCATGTGCTTCTTCGTGCGAAGGCACTACGGGTAACGTTTTGTTACTGTTATTGGTGACACATTTTCGTGAAAATTGACGCGTTCGCACCGCACGAGCTTCAACTGTTTATTGTTCGCGACCTCGGCAGACAGAACAATAACTTACTTTTTATGTGTAAATCGCGCGAGACAGTGTGTGGGTCAGTCGTTAGAGCTACCGTGATCTTGCGACCTCCAGTTTTTACCTCAAAAATAAAAAATGGCAAAAAGCGATTGGTCTGTGAAGATATTGAAGTAGTCAATCGGCCACGAGCTTCGAGAGGACCGATTTTGCCATTAGTTACGATTAGACATTGAAGAAACAAAAAAAAGGAGTTTAATAAACGTGTCCAATTTAACTGAAACGCGGAAATTTTGTAGCGGTTTGGTCTCTTTTGATTGCGAAAGAGTAGCGAGTTGACGAAATTTTCTTGTTGCCTTCTACAAATTAAGGTCAACGTTATAAATTAGAGGGACGACTGGGCGGCAATTGTATATTGCGGAAATGGGACATTCTCTCGAATGTACAGGGTGTCTCGAAATACTACTTAATTAAATAATTATTTATCTAATATTCAGTGGGTCTGTAATACTGTAGCGAGCACGAGTGTGTTTGTGTGCCATCGGGCACACGTGCGCGTATCGATTCGCCGACTAGCCGCGGGCGCCTTTCTTCGTGTGCGCCGTATTTGAAGAGTACAGAAGATCAAGTTTCCAATATGGTATCGAATTTCCCAATGAATTACAAAGTTATTTTTAAAGCTGAATGGGAAGCTCTAGAGCTGATACATCATCAGTGGAAATTGGCAAAAGTAGAGTACAATTTTTTGAAAGCATAGACCTATTAAAACGCGTATATATTGGATTTTCTAGTGTTATCTTTTTGTTGTTAATATATCTGATGAATTTATCTCATAATCTTAATTAATTGTGTGTTTTAGAAAATACCACAAATGGCGCAGTAAACGCCATCTATAGTACCTTCGAATTATTTTATTCAATTGTGTGTTTGTTCGTCGACTTTTCACGCCTTAACTATTCAACCGATCGTCATGAAATTTTGTACTCATATTGTCAGGGTTATAAAAAAGTACATAGGGTACCTTTTCTCCAGAAAAAATATTGTTCTCGAGGGATAGAAAAAAATTAATTTAATGTGGTCGATTTCACGCCTTATTATACTTGGTTTAGTTTCTGTAGCGATGTGACCTTTTGTTTGACCGGCGCAAAGTAGAAAAGAACAGCACTAGGCCAGAAAAGGAAGGAGACAACTCTCGGCCAAACTCTTAACCGGTGAGGATCGTATAATTCATACAGTACTGCACGGANGTTCTGAACGTCCAAAAGAAAAACAGAACCCTTATAGAATAACTCGTGTGCCTGTCTGTCTGTCTGTCAGTCAGTTCGCTCCGAATCGACTGGACCGGTTAAGTTGAACTTTTCGTCCTTGTCAGCTAATATTTGCAACGAGTTTTTCAGGGGCTTCGAACAAAAAAAAAAAAATCAGTTTACTTAAAATAGTTAAAAGATTCCATCTGGTCCATCACTAAAGAGGAAAGACATGATGCCCTAATGATGATAAAATGCGATGCTGTTGACCTAAACAATATGGTAAATTTGTGGACGAAACTTTGGCGAATTGGAGTAAGCTAATAAGAGAATGTCTTTCGGGTTCGATCCCCGGCGAGGGTGTGACAGAACAGAATACTTCGCTAGGGCCCCTGACTATGCCCTGTTAAATTTTGGGATGTTATAAGAAATAAAAACGGAGTAATAAGCATTATTGCAAAGTAAGTACCATATAATTTGATGTAATAATCGCTGCCCAAGTGCTAGGTGGTAACGTTCAAACAAAAACAAAAAGTTTTGAAAACGTCAAATGTAACGTTTTCAAATATAATATTGCGTTATGTCCGATGCATTTCTAAAATTGATTGACGTGTTATTTTTTCATAACAATTAATTTAGTCTTTAACGACAAGATGAGCAGAAGCAATAGAGGTAGTAACAACAGAACGAAATCGAGCTATGGTTCGCCTAAGGGAAAAACAACTGCTCCTCAAAGGTAGGGTTATTTTAAAGGGATTATTAAAACATTGGGCTTTTTCAAGGGCAAACAATTCTGATTATATACATGCGTACGTATTATTATATTAGGGTTTGCTATTTTAGAATGTTACGTACATTTTCAATAATTCGCAATATGAAAAATTTGCGCCACATTTTGAAACGTGTGATAAACAGGGGCAACAACCAATATTCTCAGAAAAACAGTCACATGATTGTTTAAAAACATCATTAGGTGCCTATAAATACACTTATAGCTTTCGAAAAACCACTGCAAAAGTTTTTTAACGGCAGTTTCTTGATCAACTCTACCAGAGCAATTTTTTATAATCATTTCTGACAGTTTATATACAATTTTCCTGCAAAACAGTTAATTTGCATTTGTGATAAAAGTCTCGTGAAAACAAAAAAGTTTTCCTGGGGAAAATTTTTCTAGAAGACGCATATCTGAGGTGCGCAAGTTCGTGACGTCAGTAATTAATCAGTACCCAGCAGACATTACTGTTTACGTAACAGACGAATTCGATACAAAACGACTTTAACGACTTATCCACATATTTATTTTTCGTGAGTGTTGTAAACTACTATTTTAATATAAAAAATGCCTCGCAGAGGACGATCAGCCAGTCCTGTACCCCGTGCACCTGCAAGGTACGTTTTTGTTGTGTTTTCAACCATTAACCTCATTTTTTACTTGCTAAAACGTCATGGTTTATCTATAAAAATATATTAATGTATTTTATACACAATATGTCGCAACATCTTTATAACGTTCACTTTAATTTAACATTTTACAAGCCTATTTATGGTCTTATATGGAAGAAAAGTTAATACAATATAAATTTCATTTCAGATCGGTACCAGCCAGGATACCTCAGCAGCATGCTGCTGCAGCACATCCTCCTGCAGCTCCACCTGCTACAGTAGCACCCCAGGCACAGCAACCATCGTTGTTTGGNTTGTAAGTGTTCGGTATTCTTTTTATAAACTTTTTACTACTTTTAATATTTTCATATTATAATTACAATGGGTAAACGAAGTCAAATTTCTCATAAACAAAAGGCTAAACCTCACAGTTCTCAAAATGTTAGTCAAAATTTAACACAAAGAACTTTGGAGGCAAGTTTTGCAAATTCCCAAAATGAACCAGCTGAGTCTTTTGAAGAAACTGTGAATAAAGTAGTTCGGTATGTTATTTATAATGCAGGAAGTAATTTGCCTATTAGAAAAATTGATTTACTGAAGCATGTATTACCTGGTATAGGAAAACGTTATGAAAATATTATGACTGAAGCAACAAACGTTTTGAATGAAGTAAGGGAATAGAATAATTTAATCTATTGTGAACTTTTTTTAAAGGAACTTTTTAAGGTTTATGGCTTTGATTTACATGTGTGTGATCAGTCTGTTTCAAATAAACAATACATTGTTATAAACATTCTTCCTTACATGCGAACCACTAATGAAGATAAACACACTCCTAAAGATGGAAAGCAAATCATAATTTTGCTTGTATTGACTCATGTGTTTATGTCAAACGATAATGCACCAGAAGGTATTTAGATTACGTACTATTTCGCAAAATTTATAGGCTATATAAAACTTATTTTAGAAACAATATTTAGATTTTTGCAATCCTTTGAACTAGATCTGTCAATTAAACACGAATTATTTGGAAATATAAAAGACTTTATTAGAAATGACATGGTTAAACAGAGATATTTATCAGTAAGTGTTGATGAACATACAAGAAAAATCAGTTACTCATGGGGTACTAGGGCTGAAACTGATGTTTCAAAAGCAAAAATACTTCAGTTTGTTTGTAATGTAAGTTGGAAAATATAATGGTTGACTCTAGGCTTTCACATGTAACTGATTCGGACAATTTTTCATTTTTAGTAGAAATAAATTATTGTATATGTTTAAAAGAAAATGTATTCACTAGTGCCACCTTGTGATTAACGGGTAAATCAAGTTGGGGATTTTAAGTAACTTTAAAAATTTAGTATCTATAATACATTATCTATAGGTAAAACATTATTCATAGATTAGAGATATCTAATACTTTCTATCTATCTATGGTCAGTACTGCGGCATGTTTCATTCCGTGTAGTTGTGTGGTGATTAAGTAGTGGGTTATTTCTAAGAATTTGGAAATTATAAGGTAATTAATTCATTTATTTAACGATTACGAATATGGAATTGTTTTCCTTTGTTCTTTATCCGCTGATCCAATTATCAGTTTAGCAAAAAATTCCATAGCTTGTATTGTACATCGCCATGTTGTCCCTTTGGTAATAATTTAGATACTTTAATTATCTTTAAAAACAACTGTTTGAGAAATATCTGCGTAATTTAATTTTTATTTCTTTTACAATATATTATTAAATGCAGTTATATCTGATGAATATACATACACTGCTAAAGGTGCCATTTATTAATATAGGTATAAAGTTACAAGGGAGGGGTTAAGGGCAATGACCTCTCCTATAGGTATGAAACTAGCTAAATTTGTGACTGTCTCTAATTAAACTTTCTTTATAAAAGGGACAGTTATTTGAATAGTTGTTTTAATACATACATATTCACTTTATATTATTATAAAATATTGTCAAATCATTTAATTTCGAAAGTTATCTCTTTATTGTTCTAATTGAAGTAGGTAAAACAGCAATTGTATTAAAACAATACATTGTATTAAAAATAAGGCCAGAGAGTCACTTATTGGCTAGTATGTAATGAAAAACAACAACAAACTTTATCCATATTTGATATCAAGAATTAATTAAACATCTAAAAGAACTGATTGAACTATATTTTGAAATCTTTCACTGATTTTCTTTTGGATGTTAATACTATCTTCTAAATCATTAAGTAAAAATTCGAGATTGTTGATAGTTGCCTTATTTTTCCTAACATTCTCTTCGTCCTCTACAGATCTGTGTAAGAGTGACTTTAATGTCTGATCCAAATCAATTTCGATTTTTTCTTCGTCGATTATTCTTTCTCTCAATTTTATTGTTTTCTTAGATTTAATTTGTTGTATTTGTCTTCCAATTTGTTTCATCTCAGACGATACCAAGGGGTTGGTTATATAAAACCACGGGTCTCGGGAAAATCGGGTTACATCTTCAGGATCGTATACAAGTATTAATTGATTAAAAATCGATTTCGAATAAAATTCGGTTTTTCGTAAAGAAAAATCAGCCTTTTCAATTTTTTCTAGGGTTATCGTTTCTATGATGTTTACCCATGACACTTTCCTGATTTTTTCGAAGTCCTCGTTGGGATCGAACTCCTTAAGAATCACAGACATTATTTTGTAAAAAATTTTTTCGTTTTCGGGGAAAGCAAATGAACAATAATTACAAATATCTTTTTCGAGTTCCAATTCGTTTTCGGGGGGCCACGTGCCTTTATATTCTGGTAACTGTAGTGATTTTATTTCGTTAGAAACTAAATGTATGTACTCGTCTTTATTCCAAAATTTTGGAAAATATTTGTAATCACACGGAAGTATTTCGGGAATCTTGCTGGTCAAGTAATCCTGAAATTCTTCCGGAAAATCGGGATACTCTTTAATATCACTACTGTTAACTATGTTTTTGAGCCTTTCTAATGCTTCATTAAATAAGTTGATCACTACGTTTGGCCTTTGAAGGCATTTCTTGTACAAATGGTTCCACTTTCCATAACTAGTCACGTAGTTCCACAAGTCAGAGCATAAATTATCTCTTAAGAAGTTGCTTAAGGTGTTCAGTAACAAGTTAGGAGGTGGTTTGGTGCTCATGGCCAAGAGGGACAAATTCTCTTCAATCGAATGTATAAAACTAACTGGTTCGAAAGCGTCTTTGATAATTATGTAATTACAAATATGTCTTTCTTGTTTCAATACATCGCTGAGTTGGTCAATTTCGTTATTTGTTGGTTCATGTAGTAGCTGAATACAGACAGGTACAGAAACGTTTTTTCTTAAGTTTTTTACGCTTTCTTTAACTCGTGATATAAGAAGATTGTTAATATTTTTTGCTACGAAAAGTAGCCCGTTACTGTCGTTCTCAAAAGTCCTAACACCTTGCTTCCGTTCTATACTGCACGTAACTTTGTAGCTGAGGAGTTTTGTCATTTTTATAAGAGCTGTAGTTCCGTATTTGTCTTCCTTCCATTCGAAATAGTCTGTCAAAATATCTTCGAGAGCCGGCAGCCCATGTTTCATTTCTCGGAAGTCCGGAAGTGATATTGTAACTTTCCAAAATATTTCTTTGCTCAGTTTGGTTTCGTTCTTAACTGTATTCAGAAGAGATTGTGAGAGTTTGTAGAAGTCGATTTTATCGATTTTAGGTCTTTTGGGTAGCTCCAGATCAATCGGTTTTCCCAATTTGTATCTCTTGATGTTTTGCAGAGTTAATTCTTGCATGCCAGTAAAAAGTTGAGAGGCTTCCCTGTCAGCAGACCTGGTACTTATCCAAACAGGGCTAGTTTCTATTATCTTTCGTTTTCTCTTTTTGGATTCAATTTTGGAACGCCATTTGTGCACAAACAGCTTTAATTTCCAATTCTTGATGTTTTCTTTTATTTCTTGAAGTCTTTCACATTTAAGATTCTCTTCTAATTGATTAATGAGATCATTCATAACTTGTGTAACTGCTGTGGCAATTTCTTCCATTTTAGCTTTCTCTTTTCTTTTTATTTCTTCTAATCTAAGTTGTTCTTCCCTGCGTTTCTTTTCTTCCTCTTTTCTCTTTCTTTGCTCCTCTAATCTCTTTTCTTCTTCAACTTTTCTCTTCATTTCTGCAAGTTTTGTCAATTCTTGTTTTAGTAGTTCTTCTCTGCGTCTTTTTTCTTCCTCTTCCTTTTGTTTTTGTTTTTCTTCTAATAATTTCTGTTCAGCTTTCTTTTTTTTCAAAGCCTCTTCAGCCTCCCGCTTTTTCTCTTCCAAAATCCTTTTTTGCTCCTCCAGTTGTTGTTGAAGTTTTAGTTTTTGTGCTTCTAAAACTTCCATGGGTTGATCTTCTAAAGCTAAGGGCGTTGATGGTGATATGTCTTTTTTCTCTGGAATTTTCAAGTCAAATTTGAAACCCCCTGATGCAGACGTTGATCCGAAACTGGGAGGTTGTGAAAATAAGTTGGAAGTTGTAGGCGTAAAAGTTTGACTTTGGCCAAAAACGCTGCCTAGTTTAGAACTACTAAACGAGAAAGGTTCAGTTTTCGCAATTGGAGATCCAAAAATGCTCTTTTTAGAAGATACGACATCCGCTGGTTGTCCAAAAATGTCGCTTGCTCCTGATTTCTTGGGAATTCTAAACTTAAATGGCTGATGTGACTGAAATCCGGATGTGACATGTGGTCTCTGTTCTTTTTCTAACATATGGGTAGGTTTTACTGATGCATCTGTTGGTTGACTCGTACTGGGTTCTTTCAGATAAGAAACTGTACCAAAAATATTTGTGCTTTTTCTTTCAGTCACCTCCGGGTTAGGGACATTTGCAAAAACATTTTTAGGTCGTTCTTTTATTTCTGGTGCCGGCTTTTCTGTTGTATCGATCTTTTCACTTGCTTGTGTTTCCAACTCAGCTTCCTTGAATTCGTCCAACAGTTCTTTCGATTCGGTTAAAAAGCCCTCTTCATTGAAACTATTATGAGGAATGTGATCAGAATAGAGTGGTTGAGGTAGAGCTCCTCCAAAGACTGTCTCGCCGACTGTCCAACGTCGTTTAGATTCTACAACATTAACTGCACGATCTAGAGCGAAAGGTAATTCAGGTGAATAGAAGGATTTCCTGTCCAGGATAACATGGGTAGTTTCTTCGTTAATTTTTAATCCATAATATTCGACAAATTCCACAACCGACAGAATGTTTTCAAATGCAAGAATCTTCATTAATTCCTGCAGAGGAAATTGTGTGTAGGGGGCTCTAGGAGAATACGACTTCAATATCGTTTTTAAAGCTTTTAACCTCACTTGGACGAAATATCGAAGCAGAATACAAGCATTCAAGTACGTGGTAGTCTTAACAAGCTTGAAAAATCGTACGTAGTTGTTCTTGTCTATTGCAGAATATACTTGGATTGCAAATTTTACTTCTGGTGACTTTTGTATCTCCCAATGAAGCTGTTGTACCTTAAAAAAAAAAACAAAATTACATTAAATCTTATTATTCAAAAATTGGAGCCATTAATTACCTCCCACATAAAATTTCCGTCGTTTAGGTTTAAAAGAATGATATAGGCCCGAAATTCAGGTTCGTGGGGACATCTGATGCCCTTCAAGTTCAAATCGTGGTACATATACTTTAAGCTTTGCAAGCATTTCGTTAAGTTTTCGGTATTAATTTTTTGATCAAAAATGGAAGGTTCTTCTCCTGCAAGTCTAGCTGAACAATGAATATGAAATCTAGCGCACTGTTCTACTAATTCAACTGATCCCAAACAGCACAACTCTTGCTGTGTTATGTCCTTTCGAATCCCACGTGTTCTGTCCCACAAGAAATGGTACCACTCACCTATGTTTACCTAAAAAATAATTTATATTTTTCAAATGTTAATATTTCTTTAGATTGTAACGTACATCTGATAAGTCGCACAAATCCATGATTTTGTGCATTAGGTAGTTCATGGTCAGTTGTAACACATGAACAGGTCGAAGTTCATGTGGTAAAGGGACTTCTTGATCAGCTGAACTACGAGAGTACTGTTTCACAGCTAGATTTGGATTCATACCTTTTCCATTTGCCCCTTGTTCATAGATTGCAACCTAAATTGTTTTTTAATAATTAAAACTGTGAATATTGACATTGACAATTGGTTAAAATAAGTTACCTGATGTTGAACTTCCCTCATCAATCTTTCCTTCTCAGGACACATATCAGGGCAGACCCCTATTGTAACTTTTGCCTTGGACAAATCTGATTGTTTCTTTGTATGTAGTCGAATGAGTTTATCTCTGGAATCTAATACTTTATATTTTTCTTCAGTGGTAAATGCAGGCATTCTAATAATTTTTAACAGCTCCAGATGTTCTGTTGTCAGTTTCTTTTTAGTAGGCTTTTTGGTGCTAGTTATTTTTCCACTAAGAAATTGAAATTCACAATAATTAAAACATAATATTGTATTGTATGTAAACAATCCCACCTTGCTCTTTTACTGACTTTATCTTTTGATGAAGTATCAGTCTGCCACTTTCTTTTAACCTTCTTGGAAGGATCACTATCTTGTAAATCAGAGGATCTACCTAACAGAAAAATACTTCCTTCACTTATCATAACTTTAATAATAATAACAGTAGCGTTTTTAATACCTTTTACAATACGTGGTGTATTTTTTTTGGGATAAAGTGTACCCATTGCTTCCAGTTCAGCTTTAACTTCGGGATCATCAGGTGTCCAATCAGGGTCAGGGTCTTTTCTGAGTGGCTTCTTTTTTGCAAAAGGTTCAGCGCCCCAAACAATATTAAATTCTTCTCCATTGTATTCGTTTCCTGCAAAACTAGCTAGTTGTGCACTTTCTTGATTCGTATATTCTATCTGACAAGATCTACTCTTTGGCCTTAAATGTATTCTAACGATATGACCAAATTTACGAAAATGGGCTCTTGCGGCAAATTTATCAAGCAATTCTAACGGCACATCTGTACAACTGAAATAATTTTTTGAATAATAAATGAAGTAGGGTTAATTGTATCATAATCGCTTTTACCTGATGTTGCAATACTTTCGGATAGTGTTTTCCGGACTGATAGGTTCCATGGCCTGTTTATTTTACTTAAAAGCTATTGTGAACCTTAAACTATTCAGTATTTTAAAGAACCGCCAAAAACGTACATTATTTTGATTTTTTAATCTTAACGTCTTTTACAGGTTAAGATAATGATCATAGACATAGATAAGAGATATACAAAGAGTAATAGATCATAGGTAAAGAATCATAGATAAGCAATGATTTTATAGAAATGGTTATTTGAACTATCTACTGTACAAAAAAGTAAATTAAATAATTAATCGTCCTTAATGTTAGTCTTGAAATTTACCAATTATTCTTACATGAGTTTCATTGAAAAGTTCTAAATATTCTGTTAAAATATTTGTGTACCTAGTAGTTCTTATGAACTTTAATTTGTAGTTCAATAACAAAGTAACAATTACTTAACCTCAATTTTTTGGTGAAAACGGTTAAAGAAACTATCTCCTTTTTGGGATTATTTATAAGTTTTATATGTTTGTAAGTGTTCGGTATTCTTTTTATAAACTTTTTACTACTTTTAATATTTTCATATTATAATTACAATGGGTAAACGAAGTCAAATTTCTCATAAACAAAAGGCTAAACCTCACAGTTCTCAAAATGTTAGTCAAAATTTAACACAAAGAACTTTGGAGGCAAGTTTTGCAAATTCCCAAAATGAACCAGCTGAGTCTTTTGAAGAAACTGTGAATAAAGTAGTTCGGTATGTTATTTATAATGCAGGAAGTAATTTGCCTATTAGAAAAATTGATTTACTGAAGCATGTATTACCTGGTATAGGAAAACGTTATGAAAATATTATGACTGAAGCAACAAACGTTTTGAATGAAGTAAGGGAATAGAATAATTTAATCTATTGTGAACTTTTTTTAAAGGAACTTTTTAAGGTTTATGGCTTTGATTTACATGTGTGTGATCAGTCTGTTTCAAATAAACAATACATTGTTATAAACATTCTTCCTTACATGCGAACCACTAATGAAGATAAACACACTCCTAAAGATGGAAAGCAAATCATAATTTTGCTTGTATTGACTCATGTGTTTATGTCAAACGATAATGCACCAGAAGGTATTTAGATTACGTACTATTTCGCAAAATTTATAGGCTATATAAAACTTATTTTAGAAACAATATTTAGATTTTTGCAATCCTTTGAACTAGATCTGTCAATTAAACACGAATTATTTGGAAATATAAAAGACTTTATTAGAAATGACATGGTTAAACAGAGATATTTATCAGTAAGTGTTGATGAACATACAAGAAAAATCAGTTACTCATGGGGTACTAGGGCTGAAACTGATGTTTCAAAAGCAAAAATACTTCAGTTTGTTTGTAATGTAAGTTGGAAAATATTTGTGACTGTGGTACTTGATATTTTATTGACCCTTGTTGGATAGACTTACGGAAATATTGAACCATCTTCATGGACAAACCAATTCAAAATGGCAAATATACAAATTGAAGAGCAAAATGATGGATTGTCTATTACAACTGGAAACACAGCTGACACAGCTGAAGAGATTGTTGATAGCGATTAAATTTTATTTTTTTTTAGAGACAACTTTTTAAATATTTTTACTTCATGATAGAATATATATCAGGCACATGTATACTTAAATACATTTTTTTATTGGATCACTTTATAGATATTATGAAGAATTGTACCATATGTATCTATATAAATTTTTTTTTTCATTTCTGCTCCATTTTAGTACGCACTTCACTTACCAAATTAATTGAATTGCATATATTTCAACAAAAAAAAACTTAATTGTACCTATTAGGTTTATAAAAAAACTTAATTTATTTATTATTGAACATGGTGAAACGTTAAAAACGAAAAATTAATGAACATCATTTAACAAAAACTAGAAACATTTTTAAGTGATTGTTATAGCCGATTTATTATATTAATTATTTAAATATTTTTCCATGATACTGTCTATATCAGATGCGGGATCGTCTGTTCTTTTAAAGCATTTCTTTTTAGTATTGTACGTTTCTTTATTGTCTTCTTCAAATGATAAGAAAGTGTCATATTCTGAAAGTGATTCTTCCTTCTCTTCGAAATATTTACGTAATTCAAAGCATTTTTTGTCGTTATTGTTATTTTTTTCGTCTCTCGCTGTTTTATTTATTTTATCTAGTGTAAAGGGATTGTCCTTATCAGTGGGATGTTGTCGAGTAAAATCCCATTCTAGTGCAGTTTCCTCAGTTTCTTTCGATTTTTTTACTTTTAGTTTAAAAGGGGAACCATCAAACAAAAAATTGTGTCTATCAATGCCCATCATTTTGTCAAATTTTTCTGCATTTTTATCACTAAATAGAGAAACATCAAACGTTTGAATTGGTTTATCTATTATAGGTGGTAAAAATCTTCTTAATTGTGATTTCTTTGATTTTTTATTAGGTGGCGGTGTTACCACTTTGGTACCTTCAGGGGTTCTGTATATCATTGCAACACATTCGGACTTTTGTATAGATTGAATACTAGGCCTGTTTAATATGCTCTGTAAGTATGTTTCTGGACAGTTATTCTCAAACATTAGCCTGTCTTGCTTTTCAAACTCTTCTTTGATCTCCTTTCTTGTCAGTTTTAGGGGTGATATGAACTTTCTCCTTTTTAATATTCTGGAAGAGGGTGGTTTTTTCACATTTTCGGTTCGAACGGTGACAGAAGATAAATTTTGATCTTTTTCGATTAATGAACTAGAATTCAAGGAACCGAGACTTTTTTGAACTTCATGGAAACTTTCGTTTGCTGAATAGTAAATTTCGTGGGATGAGGAATTATAATTTTTAGTATCATCTATAGAATCTTTGGTATTTTTATTACTAAAATATGTTATAAAACTAATAATTAAACAGAAGATTATACATTGAAACTCGTAAATTTGCTTACTCATCAGGAGTTCTATTCTTTTTAGTGTCCAGAGTACTTTTTTGGTCTGTATTTAATTCTGTAATCAATTTTTCTGATCTCTTTTCCCTAATTCCTAGTTTACGTCTTTTGGTTGTGTTCGTTTCTATTTTGAAAAAGTATTCAGATGATAACGAGTTACTTTTTTTTATTAGCAGCTCTAAAAAACAGAAAATACATATTTTCGTTAGAAGAAGTTTTAGTTTATAAATTTTGAAAATAAAGGTACAAAATGTTTCACTTACCTTTTTCTTGAACTTCTTCATTTTCTGCGATATAAACTTTAGGGCTTTGAATATAATTAATTTTGAATGAAGCAGTTTCCTGTTCTGTAGTGATTGGTTCATCTGTAGTGTTTGTTTGGTCCTTAATTTGCTGTGACGATCTGTGTTGATTAAGTTCTTTATTATCAAAATTAATCTCGTCTTTTGATTCCATACCAGTCGGTATTTGTTGTTGAATTTCGAAATTTGTGCTAGGTTTGATAACTATATTTTGGAGCACAATTATCTTTTTATTGTTATCGTTTTCTTTTCGGTCCTTTGGTGAGGGTGATTTCTCCAATGTCTGCGCTTCTGGTAATGCTTTGATACTGTTTTTTTCCGTGTCTTGATTAGTTCCTGAGGACTTCTTATCAGTTAAATTTTTGTCCTCATTGAGACTTTTGTTATCTCTGTTATTCCTTCTCTTTGCAGGTTTTCTTTTAACTTTTTTGACGAAGGGTTTGGGTGTTTGAAATGGTACTTTGATTTTTTTACGTTTAGCTTCTATTCTGAAAAGACTTTCACCACTGTTGTTGTCGCCATCACTGCATATCGTAGGAAATGGTTTGTTTTTTATAATATCTTGTAAGATAGACCCATCTGGCGAGTAACTTATTGACGAGACCTGGTATTCTTCGCAGTATGTTTGATGAATACCTTTGCCAACGCAGTTCGTTTCGTTTATATTTTCTGTTTCCTTGTTCCATTCGTCGTCAGAAAAATATTCACTTACGCTTTCTAACTCTGATATAATACTCTCCATTTCTTGGGGATTTAGTTTTTGGGAGTCGTTTGGATTTATTGTTATTGAGGACCTATTTAGTGTCTCTTTTTTGTTCGAATTATTCGTTAAATCCTTGTTTTTTTTATCGCTTTCTTCCCAATTAAAGTCGGAAAAATATTCCGATTCACTTTCAATGAAATCCTTTTCTGGACATTGATAAGTTGTATCATTATTCATAGTCTTGTTCTTCTGTAAAGGAGTTGATGTTTTATTTCTATTTTGTGACAATTGTAATGAAAATTGTGCTTCGTTAACTGATGAAAAGCTGGTATCGTTTTTCGACTGGACGTCTGAGCGTTTGGACGTTTTTGTAGGGAAGGGAATTTTAAACTGCCTTTTAGGATTGTTGCATTCATCAAATTCCTGGTGATCTACAATAAATAAATTAAATTAATGTATCACAGATAGTTTAAATACTCGACAAAAAATAATCGTGCGTGGGAGAGGGACGAAGTTTCTACTTCTGCCTCATCGTAAAGTAAATAACAGCGTGCATCATTTGTTTTAGTTAATAACCAATCCACAGTAATAATTTCAAACCATAAATCTTATTAAATGCTCCGTTATTTATAAATGGTATAAAAAATGTAATTAATGACATACCTCCTAGGTAAGGTTTTTTGTTTAATTCCGAAATGGTTTGGTCACAATCCATCACGTCGCTGCTATGAATACTGCTGGATAAAACTACCCTTGGATCACGGGGCAACGAATAATTTTCGTCATTTTTCGATGGTTCTAAATCGTTACCAATAAAATAAGTTTTAAAATTGTCGTTTTGGTATAAACCCAAATAATCGTAACAATTATTTCCGATTGCATTTTGAGTTGTTTGACTTGATTTCCAATTGAACGTAACGTTTCGGATATCTACTTCTTCTTCTTCATTGTCTTCTTGGCCGTTTGAAGAAGTTGGTCCTCCACTAAAGGTGATATCATCATAATCAATCGATCTTTGAATGATTTGCGATTTAAAAGATTGATCATGTTCTGGGACATCCCCATTATGTGGACTAGAATTGCCAAATGAAGTCTTCGCTGTATTTTGGATAACGTAACCAGAACTGGAAGATGTTTTTTTATTATTGATCGCCCCTCCAATTTCTGAAGAATCACATTCTTTTAAGTTAGATTTCTCAATGATTTTTGTAGTTCCATTAGATTGATTTTGGGATTTAAGATCGTCCACCTGAATTTGAATTGATTCGCTGTGCATTCTTATTGAGTTTTGATATTCTTTAAGTTTGTCATTTAGGATATTGGGGAGTAATTTACGTTTCTTTTTTAATAAACGAAGATCGGCTTCTAAATCGTATTTTAAGTGGAGATAATATTGTGTACGACTCTGTGGGAAGTCCTGAAAGAAAATTGGAAAATAGGACCAATTAGGGTAATTCTCTCAATTTATGAGATCGTCGCTTGAAGAGGGGGAAAAAAATTGAGAGAAACTAACAAGTGTTTAAAGGTGGGGTCGCAAGTGTAGAACCGCAATGGGGGGACGGTAAAAATTGTAAATGGTAATTGTGTAGATAAAAAGATATTGAATGTGGACACCATTAAAAAAGTAAGGTTATTCTCGGTTAAGGTTGAGTTAACCTTTCCCTTATCTACCCATTACCATTTTAAGTTTTCATCTTCACCCACTGTGCCTCCATGTCTCTGTCCCCACCAATAAACACTTGTTTAGTGTTCTATAGGATTCCCCCAACTCTTTTTTCCTTTCCCCCTAGCGACGGTCCCATAAACTAGACAATTATCCAAGTTAGTAGTTTGTCCTGAAATTTTTTGAATGCACATTGTATATGTATACACGTATAAACACTTACTGTCTGCTGTGGTTTTGTACTGTTTAAAACATCGAGAGCATAGTTGAAAGGTTCATCCGGCCAACAACTTTTTGCTATATGTACTCCATAGTTTTCGAGGGTGGTCATTCCCTCCAAAAGTCTGTACATGAAATTAAAATAAATCCTGCCGTTTTTCTCTTGCATAATCGTTTCCATTTGCCAACTACGAATTAATGTATGTAAACCAATTAGTAATTTATATTTTATTTAAGTATTTTATTACGTTTTTATGTTCATATAAATGTCCCCTAGGATGGCCATAGCTTTAAAGTGGGTCGTAAAAAAGACAATAGCTGGCGTTTCTGCTAACTTTTCGCAAATGGCCATGGCCAGTGCTGTGCCCTCTTCTACAGAGGTTGATCGACACAATTCGTCGATCACGATCAGGGTGTTTTTTGACATGACTTCCAGAAAGTATTCGACCTCTAGAATCTATTTCGAATTATTAAGACATTAACATAATTAACCTTTGAGTAGGAGGGTAGATAGGGGAGAAGCGGGGGGGGGGGTAGTTGCCACTCAGGGACGACAAAGAATAAAATAATGAATGAATTATGTAATTGCATTTGTAGTATGTAGAGGTACTCGAGTTTAATTCAAATTTTAATAAGTACAACCATAGATGTAGGTAGGTAGGGGCAAGAGGGAGACTGTTCTCCTTAGCAAGTTCATTGTCTCCTCCCCCCCGTGGAAAAGGCTCTGACGAATCACGATATCGACACAAACTTTAAAAATATAGAAACCAAACACGTTAAACCTATATAAATTTAACGCCTATTGAAAATCCATCCCCTCTTAGGAAAAATCTGTAGCTAGGGATATTTAATGGCCCCTTACGTATTAATTATTTTTTAGTGTAAATACCTCTAAGACAAATGCTGAAACCCCAATGTCAGGATTATCATCCAGAGATATTCGGGCTAATATCCTGTCTGCTATCCTGAGGGTAGCAGATTCGGCCGGTACGTAGCAACCCACTTGGGCCATAACTTGGATCAGTACCAATTGTCTAATAAAAATGCTCTTTCCTGAACCGTTTGGACCGCTTATAATGTGTACGTTATGGTCGTCGGTAGCAATCTGACATTTTATTTAATTTTTTAATTAATTACAGTAGTTTTACGGAAAAGAAAATTTAATATAATCATTATATTTTAATGTGGACAAATTCATAAAATATTTCTGTGAAGCAGACTATAGCTCAAAAATATCATTTATTTAGTAATGTATAGTCCAATTCACAAAAATTTTTAAGTAAAAACAAAAAATATTCTTTTCTTTANCAATTTGTTTTTGGATATTTTAATAATTTCGAACTACTTACTGTAGAGTTAGAGGTGGGTGTTTCAGAGCAAATAAAATCCAAAATTGGATGTCTCCCATGTTTTATTTCCATATAATCGTCAAATTTTGGTCTCACATAATTTGTATCCCCACTAAGTTTTGCCAGTGATTGTAACATGTCTAATTTCGAAATATCTTCACACAGTTTGTAAAAAACAGCAACGCGTTCCTTTATGTTTACTAATGTTTTGTGTGTTATTCTGAAAAATTAAAAATTGCATCCACCCGAAATCGTACCCAGCGATAAGCTTTGAAATGATATAAGTTTAATGTCCCTCCTATCGTAAGAGGTACCAAATTTTGGGTGATCGATAGATATACAGGGCATTGAATTTTTGATGTTAAAGATATTAAAATACACAATTGAAAAAAATTTTACATTTTGACTTACATGTTGCTAATTTTTAATATGTTCATCATTATTTCTTCTACTCTAATAGAAAGATTAATCAGATCTGTTGTTTTCATCGTAAAACTGCCCGATAATCTGTCGACCTAAAGAAAACAAGAATAGTTTCGATTTTTTAATGTTCTTATTTCTCTTTTTGTTTCAGATGTGAAATACTGGATCAGTGCATCACCTGTATGAACTCGTTTGGTAACATGGACCGTTTGAAGGATTTCTTCTCGCCTTTTTTCAAAGGTAAGACAATATGGTAACCTTTAGTATTGTTGTTGCTCAATGTAAGTGGCAAATTGTATTTTTCGCCAAGATTTCTCACATACACTGCAGATAAAAAATTTTAGTTAAGTAAGTTATAACAAGTTCTTCCCCCCTATCAGTCACTGTGAGCTCGAAACGGCTAGCACCATTACTTCGAGTGGTCAAAATTCACTTTTGTGAACAATTTCGATCACTTTCTTTGTGTTAAAAATTGTTTGAAAAATTAAATTTAAAGGAATCGTTTGTAAATAGGTATGCAACACATCGTACACTTCAGCAAAGAAATTGCTGATATTAACTAGGTAATACTACTTTTCCCTGTGTTAACAGCACTCATAATTTCTTTTATATATAATATTTATATTATTCGAATCAATTATAAAAAATATCCCGACATTAGATAATGTGTGATAAAAACAAGTTAAAAAAATGCTGTAACTATCATTTATAATGAAATATAATATAAGGACATAGCAGTTATTGCGTCTAGATATCTATCTCCTACTGAAACAATTCTTTTTCTACATGATTCCTATCGTTTATAATGGCGCGACATCGGATATTACAAAAAAAACTAAAGTAGTGCGATTGTTTTAAGTCAGATTATCTTTTATAACGGCGAACTCTGAGAAAGACTACTTTCCAAGTGCTGTTACCTACTTAAGATATATATATCTTTGAATACCAACAATATGTATAGTGATTGGATATAGCGACCTACGGTTATAGTGCACTTGTCGTAATAAACGATATATGTATCTATTGCACTACAAAAACGACACTACCCAGTCGTACAGACGGCTGGGTGTCTTCTGGAGATTTCCCCTCTTCCACGAAAACATAAAAAAAAAGAAACTACAAAAAGTATTCTAAGAACAGAAAAATGTACATTAGAAATTTGGACCCTTAGGACGCGCGCCCTAATATTTTTGAAATAATTTTTGGTCTTCACTTACTTCGCATTTCATCCAATCTTTCGCTGTATGATTTTCTCACCAAATCCAGTAGGGAATTAACGCCAGGTTTGATGGCAAAGCATCTCTGTAGGGAACCATTAGACCCTTTTGCCGGTCTACCGTCTTCCACTATCACAGTTCTCATCAGGGATTTTATATAATCAAATTCGGGTGACGCCAAATTATCCGCAACTTCTTTGTAGAATGGGTTTTTGAATTCACGAAGACATTCTCGTAGGGGTTCGAGAATTTCGAAAAACGAATTCAGTAACAGTAAATAGTTCAGTGGTCTTTCTGAGCATTCCTGGGGTTGTTTTGATATCAGGGTTACTACGTTCAGTAACTGGTCGACGTTTTGTATTTTTGTCAGTATACTCTTCAAATAATTAGAAAATGCATTGAATATTGAATTTTTAATCACTTATTAAAGAAAAAATCTGATCTAATTAATACCAGTCTAATAAATTGCAAAAAAAAAATTTATTGTAATAAATTAATAATTTTTCGACGACTTACCCTTAATACAAACGTTGCCCCCGTTCCAGAACGTTCAATAAGTTCAGAAACGCATTCAAGTCTCGACTCAATTTCGTTCTTTGTTGAGGGGGGTTGAAGTATTGAGGCGCGTAACGTTCGGGCACCGATTTTTGTCAAACAAAAATTCATTATTGAATATAAACTTGAGTACTGTTTGTGCAATGGCTGCTTTGCACAAGCAACAAGTTCTAATTTGTCGGCTGTTGTAATGTCTGAAAGAATTTAGGTATATATACAGGGTGTTCCTTTGTACTATCGATTACAGTGATCGATAAGATACAAAGTCGGTGAAAAATCATTAGAAAACTATTAATTTTTTGATCAATTAAAAATGTGATGAAAACTAAATCATTTGGAAGTCGAATTGAAATATTTGCGTATGCGTAATAATGAAAATTCGTAACCGAACATTTAGGAATAGGAAATTTAAAAGGTTTTTTGTTTTAATTAATTGAAATGAAGGTGCAACTACGTCTCCACAAAAGCTATTTAAATTTTTAACATTAATTAAATATTTTATAAGAATAGTAATTGAAAAATTGTTTACCAATAATTGTAGATCCCTCTGATTCTTGATACTGAATTTTTAAAGAATGTGTGGTATAAATTACATTTAAAACGTTTTCGATGTAACTTAATAAGCCTGATGCTGCTGCCAAAGCATAGTACCTGTTTAATTTTAATTTTATGTTTACTAATGTTTTG